CGGGCGCGGGGCTGGCCCGGCTGGCGGCGGGGGCGGCGCGGCCCGGCGGCTCCTCCGCCGCGCCGGGGGGCGGCGGCAGGAAGAGGCCGCTGCTCACCCCGCTCTGCAACGGGCTCATCAACTCCTACGAGGACAAGAGCAACGACTTCGTGTGGTGAGCGCGATGTGTCGCGATATATCGCCGGGGATTGGGGGGGGGGGCGGGCTGGGGCGCCGCCATGCCGGCGGGAAGCCTGGGCTGTGCGGGATAGCGGCGGGAGGAGGGAGCAGCCGGCGGCCCCGCGGGGCTCTCCGAGGGGCAGGAGGTGCCGGGACGGCCGCTGCCCTCCGGGGGTTCTGGCTTTGGGGTTTTCCCTCTTTTGTGCCTCTTCTGTATCGGGAATAGCGTGGCCAGCGGGACCAGGGAAGTGCTTGGCCCTCTGTGCTGGGCACTGGTGAGGCCACACCCCCAGTCCTGTGTCCAGTTCTGGGCCCCTCCATTCAGGAAGGACAGTTGGGTGCTGGACTAAGTCCAGGAGGGCAGCGGAGCTGGTGAAGGGTCTGGAACACAAGTCTGATGAGGAGCAGCTGGGGGACCTCAGCCTGGAGAAAAGGAAGCTCAGGGCGGACCTTCTCACTCTCTACAACCACCTGAAAGGAGGTGTAGCCAGGTGGGAGTCGGGCTCTTCTCCCAGGTAGCAAGTGACAGAATGAGAGGACGTAGCCTTAAGCTGCACCAGGGGAAGTTTAGCTTGGACATTGGGAAGAATTTCTTCACAGAAAGGGTGATTAGACATTGGAATGGGCTGCCCAGGGAGGCAGTGGAGTCACTGTCCATGGAGGTGTTTAAGGAAAGACTGGATGTAGCACTCAGTGCCATGGTTTGGTTGACAAGGTGGTGTTCAGTCATGGGTTGAACATGATGATCTTGGAGGTCTTTCCCAACTTCAGTGATCCTGTAATTCTCTCTGGTTTGGGCCTTGTGTAGCAGCATTGCCTCCACCCTGTCTGTTTTTAGACAAATTCAGGTTGTTCCTGGCAGGTTCCTCCTCGAGTGTGTCCAAGTTATCGGAAAGGACCTGCTTCCTCACAGCGTGTTGACATTGCAGCAACTGCCATGTTTTCCTGGGCAGTGAGGTCTCAGAGGCGTCTGGAGCCCTCTGACCTCTGGAAGAGGAGCCAGCAGAGGATTTAGTGTCCCTTTGGATGGGTATCCAAGGAACCTCGTGGTGGTTGATAGCTCCAGCAAGGCTGGCTTGGTTTGCTTGTGTGGCTGGGAAAGGTTGGCTGGTTTGAAACATCAATAGGGTTTGTGTCGCGCAGGCACCAAAAAACAGATGAGCAGGGAATTTCTGCCATGATGGGATAAAGTTTTTGCAGATGCTCTTCTTGTAACATCCAGCCAAAGCTGCAGCTTGTAGCTGGAAATCACCTTTGCACAATTGTTAAATTAAGGCCCACTGCGATGTGTGGTTTGACAACTGTTGGTAATTTGCAGTTTTAAAGGGAGCGCCTTGCTGATGGGTTTCAAACCTCCTGACATAAGGAGTAGGTTTGATTTTTGTAGCTGGTTGGGTGTTTTAAAATGTGAGAGCAGAAAGTAGGGTTGAGTGTTCACGTCCGAGAGAGGCAAACAGGGAAGAGGTGCTGGGGAAAAGTTTGAGTTGCAGGAAAGTCATGCATTGGAAAGGAACAGTTAAAAAGGAAGATAAATAGGCCACACCTTCCCAGATGACTTTGACAGCTCTGACTTACAGGTGAGGGTTGGATGTGAGGCATCTCCACAGTGCAGGTATTGTCTCAAAAATCTGTAGGCTTGGTTTTACGGCTTTGTAAAGTGTTTGGCAGAGTTGATAGGAAATACTTTTGCTACTGAAGTGAGATCCTGAAGCTGCTAAGAAGTTAGTGGCAGAAAAAAACAGTAAATACTTCTTACTAGTAATAAGTAAATGGTCAAAAATTACTGCTTATTACTGTAGTTAGTGGTTTGCTCAGTAGCAGAATTGGGATTAGAGCACAGCTGTAATCAGCAGATGCCCTGCTCTGGCTCTAGGCCATGTTAGGTGGATTTAAGGTGTTGCTCACAGGTTTTCTGGTCATGGAGGATAAACACCACTACAAATGCCCATTCACCTCTATTCCCTCTACACTCACACTCTGGCACTAGTGCTCTGCCACTGTGGCTCCCTGTCCTTTCTAGTCAGCTCTTATTTCCCATTTTGTTGTCTGTTGTGAAAATGAGGGTGTTGGGAAGGAAGTTGCCCCCATAACCAGTTTGTAGACCAGTTAAAGTATTCTAAGATGGTTCAAAAAGCTGAGTTTCTTGGTTCTTGTCTTTTTCTGCAGGTAAGTGCTGTGTATTCAAGGAGAACCTGTAATTAGCTGTTTTCTCCTCACTGAGGAGTGCTGCTGCCTGAACAAGTGAAAGGACAGAAATCAACTCATTATAATGAGGCCAAAATATCTTTTCTTGGTATTTGCAAGAGCCACATTGGGCATATTGAAGTGCATGTCAGAAGCTTTAAGAGCAAGCAATAATTATAGTTAACTTGGGTTTTTCACTGCTGTGTATTTCTGTGGGCTGAAGGGCTTGTTTCTGCTTATTGTTGCTCTAGCTTCAAATTATAGTATTCCTCTTTTTTAAATTTGAGTTAGCAATACAGTTCTGCAGAAACAAACTGAACTGGGCAACTCTGGAGTTTTGAGCAATGTCCAAGAAGGCAGGTGTGTGTGTGTAGGTTTAAATAATTGATTTAAACAAGCTTTAGATATTTCAGTGTGAGAAGCAGAAATTTTCCATATGACCCTTTTTTTTCCCCTGTGAGGACACATTCAGGATGCTGCCAGCTGTAGGGAACACTTGATGATTTTTCTGTACATGAGCTGTGAGTTGCTGTGAGCTACAGCTCTAAACTCAGCTGTAGATTCTGCCTGTACCAGATGGAAGGTGGGAAAGAGGAAAGAAGTTTGGGTGAGTTTTGAACATCAAGGTGCAAGTGAAAACTCCCTAAATAGTGTTAATGGGTGGGACCTCCTTGCCTGTCTCCTGAAAGTGCTGTCTTGACAACAGGAGGCCGGGGCCTTAAGGTAAACGTTGGCATGTGTTGCCACTCTGGGTTGTGAAATGTTTAGCAAGTGTATGCTCAGGAGGTTGC